CCCTTTCCTTTTCCTATGTCTGTGAGCTCCACAGCCAAGAGACTTGGAAGCTGCTCAGATCACAGGGAACAAAGACTGACTGACCAGCCACCTCACTCCAAACACACACTATGCTTTTAAAGGAGAGAAAAAATGTGGGTGAGAGATGGAGAGAGAAAAAAAAAAAAGACAATAAGATTGACCTAAATATACCTCATATCACTAAAGCGTAAGAAAGCAGGGACACGCATTTCATGTATGTAGTGGAAATATTTGTAGTATAGGTTCGACATATTGTATAATCATTTAACACTGCCTGTGTTTACAATTATAGAGCAAGTGACTCGTCAAAATGCAAATGTATTTCTTTTTTTTTTTTTCTGTAAAAACATCCACGCCAACCAGTGTTGCATTCTAGATGCCTCATAGAACATTCATTTTTCTCATGTTATATCCCTTATTTTTGTTACTTGCCATAATGTGTTTTGATATGATCTCTAGAAGGATATTGTTTACAAAAATGTACAAAAACACTAAAAATGTGTGTTCTCAATTTTTTTTTGAGTTTTTCTCCAGTATGCATGATAAAGACATTTTTGTATGGCTTTTTTTCTGACTGTCACCTCAATACCAAATTTTGTAGCAGAGCCTCCCCATTCCTTTGTCTTATTTGTTCTAGACCCCTTGTGATATGATTTCCCAGGCTGTACCTGTTATTGAGATGATGAACGGATTAGAGAAGCCAATAAAAACTTTTTGTTACAAAAAAGTAAATGGTGTGGGATTATTGTTTCAAAAGCAGCGTTGAAAATCTAATTTCCCCAATATTAAAAATGTTGGCAGTGTACTTAATCATTTTAGGTCAGCCATATTACCCAGGAGAAAACAGTGTAACATAATGAACTGAGCCAATATTGTATTTAAAATTTGTATTCTCACATCATCTAACTGTGGTAATGGTGCATCTACTACTTTTTTTTGTTTCAGGTACGAAAGTTGTGGACTTATTTATGTGGGTTTATTAAATGCATTGTTTTAACAATTTAAGGTTTTGCGTGCTCAAGAAAACAGGGTCATCATGTGAGGTCGTGTGCAGAAAGGAAAGGAAAATTGAAATTGCAAAAAAGGATAACAAGCTAGTCTACAAAAAAGTTGTTTCTTTTAATACTGAATTATATAATATTTTAATGCTGTGTGAATTTGTCCCTATGTCCTGTATGTGACATTAAAGGCCACATTAGGAAGAACTTTATACTACAATGCAGTGGTCAACAGGAAGGCAGAGGCTCACAAGAAAGCGTCGAGGACCTAATTCCTTGAAATGAGATTAATTTATTGAACTTTTCTTACAGAATTAAGAGAAAATACAAGCTTGAATCACAACAATTCAGATATAAGTGCCTGTATAAATAACACATATTTACACATATGTTTATTGAAGTTGGTGACACAATTTTGGGGAGCAGAGTATTCAGCTGATTTCCTAAACACCTCCTAATGTTGAGCATCTGCTTATACGCTCAAAGACTACAGCCAATCACCATGCCTTACCACTTCCACTTCCAGAAGAATTCAAACTGCAATGGACAGCTCTATTAGATCACTGCTAAATAAACAACCAGTATATAAATATAAATAACTGCCTAGGACTGATATCACCTCCTGGACGTGCCAACGCAACCTTGGTATTAACGACCTCAGGTTGATATCACCCCACTGCATACAAGCCAGACCAGCTTTCATTTAATAGTCAATGATTGTCATCACTTTCATCATCAGTATCAACCATCATCCATCAGTCTGTAGATAACAAGAAGCTCAAACGTGTCATATCTGCTCTCATAGGTTTGCTATTAATGGGAATGAAAGTAAGTGAAGAGTATTTTTTGTACATATTTGATGACTATTACTTCTTTTCTGAGGTAAAATAGAATAAACTGGACTAACTGCCATGCGGTGTGTACAGCTATATAGCACCACAACAATCCCAAAGAACATTTTTTTCAGTGTACCGTACTTGAGTAATGATACATTAATGTAATATCAAATGTGGCGTTCTGTTAAACAGAACCTTGCTCTGTTGAAGCTTGTATTCCAGTAGGGACACTAAATAACACTGACTTGCGTTCTTACAGTTTCTCCTTCTGTGAGTAAATCCAGTTTTACAGTATGCCATGTGACATGAGGCCCTGCTGCCAGAAGATGGAGCTGTTACTTTGACATTACAATACCAGTAGCTTGAAGTGCTTTGCACAATCTACAAGTGGCCTCCTCAATAACATGCTGAGCTGTCAAAGTCGAATGTAATGTCAACAAGATTCTGTCGTCTCACCGTTTACCTTGATGGCAGTGGAAAAAAAACCCTGTTTCCTGATGTTAGTGTTGCATTGTAAATCAGAAGGAGCAGGTTGCGCTCTCTCTTTAGTTACGCAGTTTGGCTTCGGTGTAAATAACAAGTGAAACCAGCACTCAACCCAAACATCACTTTACAGTTGAGTTAGAAACACCCCGTAACCACAAGCTGTCCCTTGAAGTGTTTTAGTTTCCTGAACAAATAATCTAAGGTGAGGAAATTAAAAAACTTGTGATCACAGGGTGTTTCTTACATGGTTCTTTTTTTTTTTTTGGTGCAAAAATAAAAACTAACCAGCAGTGACTTTACAGATACAACAATGATAAACACAAAGACAAGAAAACAAGTCAAATAAACAAACAAAAAATCAAAAAAGATCACGTGCAGAACTCCATAGATACATGTAATAATGATGGTGACATTATGTGTTTACTGCAATTTAAATGGGTGTTTCAGGGGGGATTTGTTATGACACATTTGTTTTGTATTGTTGTAAACATTATTGTTTATAAAGAAATATAAATGAGAGTTGAGAAATATAACAAATACATATGTCCATACAGAGCATTAGGGGGTTCACTGAATGGCGTTGTCACCTCTTGGCTTTCATAGACTTGTAGAGTCAGTACAAGGGCTGAAGCTAACCTAGAGATTCATGGTGGCCTATCCTCTTGCTACCATTATGTGTAATTGGGGAAATGAAACAACCCCTCAAAAAATAGTTAGTAGTTGTTGAAGAAATCTTCTTAATGGAATCTCATGACACATATCACAAGTGGAAATATGGACATTACAATAGAGCTGCAAATGAGTCCATGAGCAGGACTGCATGAGTATTTCCATTTTCTGCTACTGTATATTTCAACTCCACTACAGTTCAGAAGGAAAGGAAATATTGTAGCCTATTTTTTTA